CAACAACAAGTCTGGCCAGCCCAGCATGCATGATTGACTCCACCCTGATTCCACTGTCTTATTGTCAAACTCATATCTACTGTTTATAGATGAAGGCTTTTGTTATGGTCTTTCCATTGTTTAATGATGCTGTTGAAAGCCTGTGCTATGGCTTTGAGTCCCTTTGTGCTTATGACACCACTTATAAATCCTCCCAAATGACATCTGAACTATATGAAGAATAACTGTGTGCTGAAGCAATCTTGTGTCTGTCTGTGTGTGATGAATAATCCATCACAGTGAACCATCTTGTGATTTATTTCAAGCTCCACCGCTGTCAAATCTTCTCCCCATTGCCAGGACGGACAATAAGTAACATATGATCTCTCACGCACAAACACAAGATGAATCAAGCGGCTTCACATTCTCGCCGTTTCACACATGTTCTTACTTTAAGACGTGATGCAGGACCAACTCATATAGCTGTGATTTTTCCTTCACCTCATTCACAATTTCTCCTTTTTTTTTTTTCTTCCCCCGAGCAAAGTCTCTCTGCTCAGTGTGTTGGAGCATCTGCAGTCAGACGGCCTCTTCCCGTCACCCCCCCTCCACCACCACCACCACCACCAGCCCCGCCCTGCACCCGACAACCGCTCTAACTGCAATCTCTTGTCAGCAGGGACAAATATTGACTTGTTTGGTGGCCCGACCTCTGCCAGGATTAGAGCCCCGCTTCCCCCCCGCTGCCGCCGCCATCTCTAAACGGTGATTATGTCCAACAGAGCTCATTACTGTCAAATCAAAGGATCCCTCAGAAGAGTCACTCGTTGGTAATGACCCTATTATTCAGTGAACATGTGGGGTTTGGTTGGCTTTACCTCCTACAGATAGATAGTCCTGTCTAGATGCTGACAGTCCAGTCTTTTTGGGACAGTAACATTGTTTTACATGAATTATGGGTACTTTAACTCACCTATTTGACTGCAAACACATTGCATAGTGCCTCCTACTGCAAATACATTCTTTCAGATTCCTTTGATTGTTACCCACAAGTCTGTGTCATCAAATAGTTAAAGTACCACAGCTGATTGAAGTCACATATCGAATACACACTTTCAGGATGACGGTTACTTTGCATAATCCGGTTACAGTCTGGATACTGGCTGTGAATCAATAGAGATTAGAGACCCATTAGTCTGAAGGTGTAAACCAAATGCAAGGCATTCATAACAAAGCTTGAACCCTCTGGAGATACTTAACGCTGAAACAACAGGATGGTGCAATGAAACTGATGTGAAACTACGGGTTGAAAGAAGTTCTAGCATTAGGATTTACTCGGCTTTCTCCACCTTTAATATGACATTTTCAAAACAAAAGCATGACTTTCACACACACTCTCAATGAATCTAAGAGATCTGGTTCATAGAATACATCTTTAATACAGTAGTTAGTTACAGTGATGTCAAAAAATAAAACATATGCATCAAATTGGAACATTTATTTACAGAGTTCCTTTGTCCCCTTTAGTGCCGTGACTACACTGCGAAACCCCTCCACCCCATCCCACCCCGCCCCGTTCCTGTTCCCCAACAACATTTGTCAACTGCCATCTGCCTGTCTGCCCCCGTCTCCTCTCCACAAACTATATAATTAAGCTGCAACACCTTTTCTCCTCTTACGTCCCCGTCCCCCCCCTCCTTCCTCCCTCCTGCAGCCCAGACTTCTACCTTCACAAACAACAAGCTTTAAAGAGGACACTGCTCTGTTTGATTTCCCTGCCCACACATTTTTTTTTTTAAACAAGTGCTTCTAAAACAAAACAGCAATAGGTCTGAACAAAAAGAAAATGCTATGGTATGAAAATACTGTACAGCTTTATGTTTCATCCAGTGTAAACAGATTTCCATGTAAATTGATTTACAATTCCCAACGTCACAGAAATGAGAAATGAGAACTTTTGCAGACAAAACTAAAAATATACTTCTTTTCTCTGAGAATTTTGAGGAACGAAGTAGCCGAGGGGCGCAGCCAGCTGGCTCCAGCTTCAAGTCCACACAACATACAGAGCATCCGCCTCTCTCGCTGTAGAAGAGGAGGTACGAATTATGGATTTCATGACTGTGAGCAGTGACAAAGTTCATCATCTCATCTTACCACGCTTTGAACAATGGACACGTAAAGTCTTTTTTTACAAGTGTTCCAGTGGTTGGAGCTGGGACCGGCCCGCAGCCCTGCTCCACCTTTCCTTTTACTCTCTAAACCTTGGTGGCCAGAGACTGAACCTCTGACTTCTGAGTCTGGGCGCTGAGCGTGGATGACATGGAGCTCATCTGACCATGCATAGCCTTCTTCAGGTTGAGCAGGCACAGACACTGGGAACGAAAACGCAGGTCAAAGAAGGCATACAAGAATGGGTTGAGGCAGCTGTTGACGTAGGCCAGGCAGGTAGCGTAGGGGTGAGCCAGGAGCAGAAAGCGCAGGAAGCCGCAGGAGTTCGGAGCCAGGTTCAGGTAGGAGAGGGCGTCCATGCTCTTCAGCACGTGGAAGGGAGTCCAGCAGATAGCAAACACCACCACCAGTGTGGTGATGATCTTCAGCAGCCGCTTCTTCTTCTGGTCCTCCTTGCGCAGGTTGTTGAAGTGACGTGTGACCGTGCAGCCGATGAAGCAGTAGAAGATGGTCATGGCCAAGAAAGGTAGCAGAAAACCCAGGGCAGAGGAGGACAGGCTGAGCCCGGCAATCCACAGGTACTCGTGCCTCTGGTTCCTTGTCACCAGGCTGAAGTCCATGGCGCACGTGGTCCGGTTGCTGTTTAGGTCGTTCACGGTGGTGCGGAAGAGCAGCGTGGGCACAGCCAGCAGGCCGGACAGGAACCAAATAGCACCCAATGACGCCAGCATGGTGCCCCGAGAGCGCAGCCTGCTGCTGGACAGAGAGTGCACGATGGCCAGGTAGCGGTCAAAGCTCAGGCAGGTGAGGCAGAAAACACTGGCGTACATGTTGACCAGAACAACATAGCTGCTGATCTTGCACAGAGCCACGCCGAAGGGCCAGTGGTAGCCCAGAGCTGTGTACACGGCCCACAGAGGTAGGGTTATAACAAAGGTGAGGTCAGCAAGGGCCAGGTTGCCTATGTAGACATCTGCAGCCCGACGTTTGGATTTGGATCTCCAGACAGTGAAGATGACCACACCGTTACCTGACAGGCCCAGGATGAAGATGAGCATGTAGAGGACGGGGATGAGGGAGTAAGAGGGCTCCCACTCTGAGAAGTCACAGTCAGTCTCATTGTCGTCGTAATACTCATAGTTATCAACATATTCCCCAGTAGTGGTCTCCATGCTGCAGCGGAAAAGATCTTTAACAAGAAAAATCCTTGGTCCTGTACAGTTCCAGGTCTTCAGAGGGTGAACGGAGGCAGAAATCAGGGAATCACAGGAGCTGCAGGTTCTGCTGAGTTGACTGCTGGTGGGAATTGGAGAGTGTGTGAGAGTGAGTGACTGTTGGCGCTGTCTGCCTTTTTAAACTCGGCCCTCCACACCCCCTGGTTCCCTCCCAGGACGACCCCCTCCTCCTCCACCTCCTCCTCCCCCAGTAAAACATCTCTCAGCCCTCCCCCTCCTCCTCCTCCTCCTCCTCTCTCTCACCTCTTCTGGATGAGCCCTTGAGGACAAGGAGCCACCCGATACCCCTGTAGACAGGTCAACCCCCTCCCCATAACGAATTAAACGTTTTTATACTTTAATTACTACAATTAATATCCAACTTTTAGGAACTGCAGCAAAATATTAATGCTGCTGAAAAACTTCCAAAACTGAAGAACTGGTCGACAGTTGAGTCTACATTGAGGGTCTGATCTGAGCAATGTTTTGCATCTGCTAAATAAAAGACATCAATCAATCAATCGATAAATCAATCAATCAGTCAGTCAAAGAATTTTAGATTTTATTTTGTCTGCCAACTTTACTTGTTTTTGTACTAAAGAGGAAATATTTAATTGACAAGATTTAATTTGAGATCGTGAGCCTAATATAATAATAATAATAATAATAATAACGTTATCGAACAGTTAATTGAATCAGTTTTTTCCCCCCATTATTAAAGTGAAAGTACGCAGACCTGTTGTACTTCACTCTTTCTCTTTTATTCGCCATATAAACGCACTTTTCAGTGCTGCGTTAGTTTCCTGCGAATATGTGGATTTTTCTCGTGTTTGGACACGTCCGGGCATTTCCACTGCTCTCGTTTTACATCACAATCAGCATAAGACGGCTGTTAGATGTGCAAACTGTCACATTTCGCCTCTAGTTAGCGCTTATTGATCGGAAAAAGACAAGAAAAGAGGAAAGTTATGGAAAGGAAAATGAAACAAGAATCCACCTTAACACATGAGATATAATAAATATAAATATGACGGGTTTAATGACTTGCCTCGGAATGACAGCGATAATTAGATCGACAGTGAATTGCAAACTGTTTGAAGATTAGATTAAATGTCAGCGGGCAGCTCAGGGATGTGTGAATTCAATTCTCAAGTCTGGGGATTCATTTCCATCAGAAAAGGACAAGCAAACACACCGGGCTGCAACAAAAACAAAAGGAAACCTCACATTGACACCATCACCGAGCTAACAATGTCTATCTCTAAATGCTTTTCATGGGACCTTTTGGTTAATACATGTTCATTAACCTGCTGATTACATCATATGAGGATCACTGCAGGTCAACTCAAAGGGAAAGGAATTAGAAATGTCTGAAAACTGTTCAATTTGCGTTTTATTTTGTAGTTTTTAAAGTGGTTTATGGCTCATTCATGTTTCAAATTACATGCACAGATTTGGTTGCATTACATGGGCAACTGTGTGACAATAAAGCAACACAGAATAAGAAAATCTGGAACATTTGGAAAAGGCTTTTTTGAAGGACTATTAACATTCAATTTAAAGATACAAATTTGCATTGTTTAACTTTTCCTAGCACAATTTGTCAAATCAGCCCACAACATTTGCTGTTTGCAGACCTGCAGTGAGACTTTAATCCAGCTCAAATGAATTACTGTCAGAGGAACAAAAGAACAGTGCTGGACATTATTTACAGTCCAAAAACAGGCCCCCTAGTGGCGATAACAGAGAGTTACTGCATGAATCCTCACACTGGATTATTACAGTGAGTGAGTGCTGATTGTACTGTACATAGAGCCAGCGAGGGGAGTCTAACATGGCAGAGACTTCATCATTCTTTCAACAATGCGGAGACGTTGGAGCCCAGTTTTTCCTCTGTGGAGACACAACTGCTGCTGCAGACGTCAGGTGAGAAACACTCAATTCTATTTACATGATTTTGTCAAAAAAATTCAAAGCTCTCACTCAAAAAGTTAAAGTGGTTATACTGGCTATCATAAAAGAAAAAGAAAAAAGCAAAGTGCTTATTCTGCTTCTACTTGATCTAGAAAACCACACACTCACACAAACACAGACACACACACACACACACACACACACACACACACACACACACACCAGGTGGGTCCCACCTCTACCTCATTCCCCAGGGAGAGGATTGGCCGCCTGCTGCTCGCAGGCCCGGTATCCCTTAGACAAATAAATTAGAAAATTTAAAAAATAAAGGCGAGTAGATAAGAAACAGATGGTCAGATTAGACCATCGTCTTGGATATCTTCAGAGGACCTCCTCACTTGTTAATCGCAGCCTTTATAGTTGCCAAGATAAAGTCCTGCTGCTGATCCTGAGGTCCATTTTACAGGGCCGGGGGTGGGGGGGTGGGGGGTGATTATTACCTAGGAGTGAGGATTTACTTACATCACTTTCCAAATAAAATAAGAGTGAAATGTAAATGACATTTTCGACATATTGAATTCTTTACTTTTGTGTTATATTTTGTTTCCGTGGCTGCATTGTGTCACAGGGTTTCTCTCCCTTAGGCCTGGACCACACATTGTCTCTGCCACAGCTGCGGCTGTTTTTGATCCGCTGCTGTAAAGACCCTGCTGCCTCTGCTTCACTCTGACCGTTATCTCAATACTCTCCTGAGGGATATCGTGGATACTTATTTAGCCCTTCAATGGAAAGTTGCTGCTATCACAGACATTGTAGCTGCTGATATTTTTTCTGCAAAAAGAGGGACGTGTGTGAGATATCCATCTTTACAGAGTTCACTGGAGTCAACGATAGGCGACTTGGGGGACATCTGTAATGGACGCCTGTCAGCTCCAGTCTGGTCCAAGGAGGAGATAAGTGATTGAAGGTGTAATCTGTGACCTGAGGTTTGTTTGAAGTGTAAAAATTGATGGCAGCACGAACATCCTTCCCCCACCTTTTTCTTTTGATTTGTGGTCAATACAGCAGACCCCAGGCCCCCACAAATCAGACTGAGGCACCCAGGGACCAGGGCCACAGGGGACCTAGGGTCACAGTGTGGTGTCATATGAAAGACAAGGTTGGTCCTTCAGTGCACTTAATGTGGAATCAAAATAATTCATACTGGACCCCGATTTGTGCTTCAATCTAGTCAAATCTTGAAGCTAACTGTGAGCCACAGGCGCGGACCTTTCACGTCGACCTGCTAAGTGCCGACTCTGCTGTGTCAGACGACGTCGCACTCCTGTGCCATGGAGCCAGTGCCACACCCTCAGATGTGCGAGGGCACTGCTCCTGCTGAGGGGTTTGCTAATTGGCAGAGCATCATGTCCAACTGCAGGTTATCTGAGGATCGCTGGCTGCTTGTGTGTGTGTGTGTGTGTGTGTGTGTGTGTGTGTGTGTGTGTGTGTGTGTGTGTCTGCTGCTCCTGCGTGACAATTTGCTTCTGCATGTCTGTATTTTCAGTGCAATAAGAAATGAAAGATCACAAGAAAGCACCAGAATGAAATACATTCTCACAATGTGAAATGGAAAGTTCTGTAAATAAGTCCCAGAGGGCATTGTATTGTACTGTATGAGCCTAATTAAGCTCAGTGGCAGCCATAACACAAACAGCTGTATACTCTTGACCTCAGCATTGAACTGAAGAGAGATCTCCACCCAATCATAAGACATGTTTGCGCTGATAAGGCTCCTCTATTGTTTCATTTTTGTCGGTTTAAGCACTATTCTCTAAATGAGCGCGGCACCTGTTGATAGGACGCTTTTAAAAATGTCATCATGCCTCCCGGATTAGGTTTAAACAATGATGCAAAATTGTTTTTGTTGACTGAAGATGGGAAGACATCTTGTTCAGATTGTTCTTGTTGTATGGTTTCAGGGTGTGTTCAAAAAGCACTGGAGTGGGCAGAGGCCTGAAGGCCCTCCCCAGTGTGAATAATTTGTGTTCTTGCAACCTCAGAGTCAGAAACCGATTATATGCTATATTTCTATTTCAATAATATCTCAAAATAATATAACAGCACAACATTAGTACAATTATTTTCAATGTGAAGGGCTCTATCTAGAGCCAGTGTTTGGTTTGTCTGTTCTGGGCTACTGTAGGGGAACCTCCATGGAAGTCGAGATGCTGTATCTGTTGGTAAATCGGCTCATTCTAAGGTAACAAAAACATAATAATTCAGGCGATTATAAACTAATGAAAACATACCTATAAATATTATATTCTGTTTTAGCCGATAGATCCTCCCTTCACACTGGACCTTTACCTACTTGGGAAATTAACTTTTCACTTAAAGAAAAAAACTCTCACCAATTTTAGACATCAAAGTCTGTTCCAAGATGTTGGGGAGTACTACTGCATGTGTAAAAAGTAGTTGTGTAAAGAATTTTGTAGCTCCAGAGGGAGCTGCGTGAAATGTCATAAAAAATGCCTCGAGTTTTGAAAATGAAAAAAGTCTGGAGGTGTGGAGAATGTATGTGATAAAAAGTCTATCTCTGGTTTTGCTGCATCAATTTGGATTCACTGTAAAAAAATATATATATATATATTTTTACGGTAGAAAACTGTCTGCTGTGGTTTACCATAGTAAAAAGGGTAGAACTTTCTACTATTACGGTAAAAGGTTATGAGTATTGTTGATTTACAGTTAAAGTTTGAGTTTTATTCTATGTTTTACATATAAACCCACATTAAACTGAACTTGAATGCACTAAAATCTTGTTGCTTCCCATTTATTTCCCATTTGATGCTGCTGTATGAAGAGGTAAACGCATTCAGATTTCATTATTCCAACATTTGTTGTGTGTCAGTAAAGTGAACATAGGGATGCATCAAAGCAAAGTTTTCCTTGGATGGCTCACATGAAGCGCAGGGTTTATCAGCACAAGTCACGCTGTCTGTGCCTGGGAGTCAGTTGGGTTCGACAGCCATATCAAAACCTAAACACGGCCCAGCCAGAGCCAAACTGCAGCAAGCACAATGTTGTTGTTGCCACCAGAAACAAAATCCTGACTGTTTATTTATGACTTATCTACCTTCCTTATTGCATGTCTGCCAAGAAAAGAAAAAAAAAACCACAAAGACACAATGCGGACAGGGTTTTTATTGTGACATTGCGATTCTCTGACCCGGCGCTTCGTTTAAATGTGCTTTTTTTGGCACTTTTACTTCCTCATTGGAATGTTTTGAACAGATCAACAGATTTAATCAGATAACTGTGATTTTAAATGTGAACCCTGACTGACCACCGGTGCTCTCTGCTCGTCCATCCCTGTTGTCTCCGCACCTCCAGTAGCTTGGTCAGGAACAAGGGGGTCACAAGGTGTTTCCCCTCTCCCCTCTTAGGACCCTGGACCACCCCCGCACCCATCCTCTCTCTCCCCACCATGCTGTGTGTGTGTATGTGTGTGTCAATGGACAAAACAGCAAGCACCACAGGATGTGCTATAATAGGACGGTTTGTCCTCCCCAACCGAGATGCTTCTGTCAGACTTTTGTTTTATAGCTGCTTGAAGTGCGTTATTTATTTAAGAGATGGCGTGATTGAGTGAAAATATAAATATTATATTGTTTTGTCCAACATTCCCAGAATGTTGTTTTAATAAAGTTGTCAAAATAGGTCAGACTGGTGTCAGATAAAAATATGTGGCATGATAATTTCTTGTATCTCGTCATTCTTCACTGAAGTGAATAGCTTCTGTCGGACATACTATATTTTTAATGTGCAGGTGAAACACTTAAGATTTATGTTTCACCTGCACTCACAGGGAAGACCAGGAAGGAAACCTTGTAGAAAAAGTAGGAAACAATGACACAGGAGGAAAAAAAGAAGCGGGAGATGAGTCTAATGAAAGAGAGGAAGAAATAAAGGGACAAAGGACAGGGTTGATGATGAGAGGGCAGTGGATGGCAGGCAGGCCAGTCCTCTCTCTGTGTAGTAGAGTTAATGACAGGGATTAAGGAGCTGGGGGGGGGACTGCTGGGATCTCCAGGCTCTGCTAGACTCCAGCGTGGCCCTCCCATCATCCCAGGAGATCTGCGGGAATCTGACTCCATTTGGCCTTAAATCTCCTGACAAAACAAAAACCATGTGGCTCAATTAGGAGGAAATTAGTTTCTCCTTCCACATTCACATTTTACTCGCTCTGCATCTTCACTGAAAGGCGTGAGCATTAATATGACATTCAAAATCAGTTATTAGGGTTACTTTTAAGATTCCTTTAAAGTTGGAATCTTAATTGTAAGACTGGGAGGTGTATTCTGAAGTGGCAGGAAATGTCTGGATCTCATAATCAATAAGTATGATTCTTGCCTGTTTTCCTTTAAGCTAGAGACATAGAAACCTAAAGCCTGTCCCTGTTATGAGAAGCCAAAGTGAAAACACAAACAGCAGCCCATGTGAAAACCAGGTGCTTTGCAGACTTTTCATCCACAGTCTCACAACGTCTGAGCAGAATTATTGTCTGTTATGCTCAAATTTCCTTCAGGACGGGAATGAAAGAGCCGCCACAGACCTGACTGGCACTGAGAAAGACCAGGAGGGAGTCCCTGACAAAAAGTGCATGGTGAGCAAAACCATAAACTCGAATATGAGACAACCAGTAGGCTTTAATTGTTAACGTTTTACCACCAAATTGTTCTTTCAAGGCCTAAAAATGTGCTCTGTGCAGCAGGGCATGAAAAGAAAACAGGTTCAACCCAATATTGGAGCCATGCCAGGGAAAATCTAAAAGACCCTTTTATAAAAACTGGTAAAATAAGAGACAAGTTGTGCCCGACAGTATGAGCATGTCAGGAATATCGAGACTATTTATATCTCAGAAGATTTACAACCGAAATGCCGTCTACTACCACGATTTCATCACAGACAAGCACTGTGTTACATTTTTATCCTTATTTCAGGGCCAAGTATGACAGTGTTTGTCTAAGAGTTTTAAAAAGCCCTTTCAAATGTGAGCAGCTGTGTTTATTTACTATGTATGTACAGTCTGGATCCAGTGCCAAATGCAGTTTAACTGAGGGCAGTCAGCTCTGTTACAAGGTTATTTAGCAGGTTCAATGGTCATCACAGGAACAAAACAATAAAGTGCATGCTCTACTGTTACACTTTTATGGTAGCTGTTAACCTTCCCATCAAACCTAAGAAGCAGTCCTCAGCATTCTTGCACTGGTGAAACTGCAAAGCATCTAACAGTGGCGACAGTGTGGCGGAGGCTGCGCTGTTTTCCCCATCTGTCAGCTGTTTGACAGACAGCAACAAACTGTAAATCAGTCACCTCTGAGACGAGGCTGGCCCTCTCCCTGCTCAGAGCAAACAAACCAAAGAGTGTGTGTGTGTGTGTGTATTCACCCACAGTGCATCGTCCGCTTCCTTTACCCACTTCATGTGGTGCAGACGCCAGGTGGGTCAAGTGGAGCCCAATTTTAGGATAAAGTGCATTAAAACGTATTACAAAGAGTTTTTAACTGGTTATGAAACAGTCTCAATTTAATGCGGATGCCTCTGTATGACCTACATAAACAGTGAGAAGATTGTCTATTTCTGTATAATTATTGGGTCAGATTCAGCTGAATTCCCCTTAAAATCAATGAGACGAGGTGATAGAAACATTACCGCTTTTGTCCACAAGGGCCACCAACAAAATGAAAAGTTCTTGTAGGGACTTTAAAGTGAGACCATGTGACTTTTTTAGGATGAAAAAATAAAATCTTCCTGTTATAAATGAAAAGTTGAATTCATAAGAAATAAAATACACCCTTGGTAAACCTGATGGGGTTTTGCCACTACAAGCCTACTTGGATGATATGACCAGTAGCTTATAGTTGCTAATGTTGGCATGGATACCGATTCACTGACATTAGTTTCATGTCTTTAAACATACAAACTTACCTCTAAACACAAGGTTCAAACATTTATTTTAATGTGCATTTTTAATTTGTGCATAAAAATAGTAAAAAAAAAAAGTAAAAAACCTTGAATCGCCACAAAAATGTTTTATTTGGTTTGATGTTTAACTGCCTGTCTTTTAATTATGTCAGCTTGCTGCACACTCTTCTTCTGTAATGTTTTTAATAGCCATCAACGCGATGCTCTCAACTCCTAATATTCACATAGCAGTAGTGCACATTACTTTGCATTTCTTTTGCAGATGTTCTGCAAACTCGCATTACCTTTGTGTAGAAAACTGACTTTAATAAGGTCTTTAAAGCTCAAAGAAAATCTTGGGAAATTCAATGTGTTATGATCTTGTAATTACCACTTGTGCACTAGCAAAAGTTACATAATCTGAAAATGAAGACGGACAATTGCACCATCATACCACAAATATTAGGACCTGAACCTCTGTGCGTTTGTGCATTTGTGCCTGAGTAGATGTGGTCTATTCTGAGGCTGTCTGGTCTCTCTCTTGTGCTTGTCTGCAGCCAGAAGCTGTGGCTCCTTTAAAAGCTGACAACTGCTTTAAGGAGTCAAACAATAAAATCAACTTTAACACTCTGTCGACAACTTTGATGTGCAATCACAAGGCGAGAGGAGGGGAGGGGGGGTTCAGAGTGGGAGTAAAAACATCCTCCGACTTGCCCTAATTGTTTCAGCATCTGTTTTGCTGTTGCTATCACACAGACAGGCTGAAAACACAACTGAAAACACAACTGAAAACACACATTCAAAGTTTCCACTCGCTCCATTTCCTTTAATCAAGTTGCCCTCACAGTGACTGATTGCCAGACCAGATCTTGGCCTCGTCTTGCCTGTCTCTCCATCTCTGCTTACTGTGCAACGCATGTTAAACTCTACAAGGCTTTCCCCTCAATAATACTATTTGTTTCCCTTCAGGAGACAGCTGATAATTACATTAACTCATTACAACTGGCAATTATTATCATAAAATGTGACGAGAGGAAGACGGGAGGCTTGTGTCCAGGGTAGGATTGAGCCAGCAGGGACAGGTTTGAATAAGAGTCCGCGGCCAGAGCGTGCTAATGAAACGAGACCAACTGGCTGTGGAACGTGGCCTTCCCATTATACACGTACTTCAGGTTTCTAAAAGAGGAAGCGGGACACTGTTAAAACACAAAAGGTCCAGATGTGAGGCCCCTTGAAACACATCTCACTGTCTGCCCTGTGTTGAATGTTAACAAATTGTCCTTTAACGATCCCAAAACAGGCCTAAAGTCAATGTCAAAGCCATGTGTCACTCTTCTGAGCCCAGTGTGGGAAGGCTAAGTGCCTCCAAAAAGAAGCTGGGACTCTAAGAAAATATTTGGACAAAGCCCTGCACTATTTCAGCCTCCACAATGGGTTGATCCACATACTCGGCACTCAGCACATGTTGTTGCACTTCATCTCGCTCAAGGATTGAGGGCTTCAAAACACAGCTGAGGGATTTAGTAAGAACTCTTGCATTATTAATGAACTGAGAAGACATTTCTAACCTTGTAAGAACACTTGTTTTTTAAACTTAAACACAGGTGAGAGTGGCAGGAAGAGGTGATCAGATGAGCACTTTGAGCTACCAGACGGTGCTTCTTACAACGAGGGCTCCTGGGTGTCAGGGTGGCCATGATGCCAGCATATGTGTTGGCTGGCAGCACGATCTCTGATGAAGCCAAATGTTTGCACCCCAGACTCATCCAGATACGATTCAGCTGAAACAGACAGCTGCGCACCACACCCCTCCCTCCCCGACATCACCCCTCCTTTAATCTGCTGCTAAC